GACAGCTTTGTATACTTAACAGTGGAAAAGTACATTTAATGAGAGCAATGAGAAGCTTTGGGACTAAACACTGCAAGTTCTGCTTCACCCCAAAGATTAACACAGTCTCCAATAGCAAAAAGCTGGCGGGGGGAGGGGGAGGAGAGAGAGAATGGTTCCTTCAATTCTGGTGTTATCGAAGAAGCTTATGAATCAGCCCCATCTATTATCCAACTGGTTATATACTGGCCAATCCACAGCAAATCTTATATAAATCTTGACCACTATTTGCTGCTATAATGCATAAGCCGAGGTCCCGGATAAAAAAATTTTGGTTTCTAATTAGGATAAATTCTGCAAAACTAAGCATCTTTAAATGGTTTAATGCTTCCATGTATCTGGCTAAGCTCCAATATGTAAATTATAACACGTTAGCTTCATTGATTCCCCCCAGTCTAATTTCCATTCCTTATTTATTATTTTGCATATGTGAGAAGAGCACCATCTAGTGGGGAATTGCAAATAAAATGACCAAAACAATACACAGTGGAATGAATAGCTGGTGTAGGCTGCCCCAGACTTTACAGACCTCCTTTCTCTTTTTCCTTGTTCTTTAGTAATGCTTGCTATCCCCTTTTATTCAGATGTAATTTCTCCTCTCTTAATTCATCACGTGATAATGTCCCCCCTCCCTTTTCCCTGCTTTGGTCTGTGTCTTTTTCTCATCTCTTGTTACTTTCCCTTGTTTCCTCCTGTTTACTACCTGGGTCTCTCCTCTTTCCTCCTCCTCCTCCTCCTCCTCCTCCTCCTCCATCATTTCATGCTCACTCACAAGAACCTGTTCCCTTCCCTTTCTTGGTGGCTGGGTACCACATTCAGTACATCACTTGCCCTCCTGTTATGCTCTGCCAAGTTGAACAGTGTTGTTCACCTTCCAAGTAACTCACCTTCCAGCTGGACTGCCAACACACCAGAGAGAGGACCCCTCAGAATGACCTCTCTCCACACTTCATCACTATATATGTGATCTTCACTATATAATGGTGATCTTGTACTGTATATGTGATATAGATGACAGATCAATTTTCTTCTGAAACATACCTTCACATTTTGCCACACACACACTTGCTCCATATTTATGCCAGGATGATTGCCTTTCCATCTCACACAGTCGGTTTGAATACATGGATGCACCATGTACGGCAGCATATTTCTTCCCATTCATAACGTACAGTGGCACCTTGGTTCCTGAATGGCTTAGTTGACGAACAAATTGGCTCCCGAACACCGCAAACCCAGAAGCAAGTGTTCCGGTTTGTGAATGTTTCTTGGAAGCCAAATGTCCGTTTCGGCTGTTGGCGTTGTTTCCAGGGCCAATCAGCCAATCAGAAGCCGCGTCTTGGTTTTCAAACGTTTTGGAAGTCGAACGGACTTCCAGGATGGATTGAGTTTGAGAACCAAGGTACCGCTGTACTTCCTTGTAAAATAAGAACTATTATGTCTGGGCCTCAGTAGCTCCTCACTGTTCTTTTCTGATGTTAAGCACTGGCCAACTTATCCTTGTAGGGACACATTGCAAAGTCATTTCTGAGCTCTCAGTAGGCACCAAGAGTTAGACAGATCAGTGAACCAAGTTGAGGGCTGCATTCTTGTTATTTGTTGCTTCATTTCGGTTGTCAAGGAAACTACTTTCTTGGCATCAGCGCATTCACCAGGTCTCTCATAGTTTCCACCCAACCATAACAGAGGCTGCATTGTGGAGTGGCATTGTAAAAAAAAGAAAAAGAGCAAGAGATAAACAAGAGGGGAAAAGATCAACAAAAGTAGCTGAAAGTTAATGTAAGGGTTACTGTTGTTAAAACTGAATTCGCTCTTGTTTCTCTGCAAAAATAAAATAAAAGAATAACAGGCCAAGGAGCCACGTATATGGCTGAAGCTTTATGGCTCCAACTTGGTTATGGCAAAGCGCCAGTAAAAGACTGAACCCTCCACATCAGAAAGGTTTGCCCATGACAAATAAATAAATAGGCCAGAAATGAAGGTGATCAGTATGCAAGATCTGAAGATAGAAGAGTTGGCTTTCCTCTAGCCTTGAAGTGGTCACTTTTATTTTAAATGCAGCCCTTTTTTCCTACAGGGCCATTCGTAAATGTTCACCATGTCATATCTGATGGAGTGTTCCTTGAGCGTTTGGTAATAATGTGTCCTGTGGAGACATTGCTGTTTGGGTTTTTGCTATGGAAACTCCATTCTGAGTACGGCTCCTTCGCTGCCTATCAGGATGATGAAACGTGGAGCATTAATAGGTAAGTGGCGAGCCAGCTATGATTGTTGGCTGTTTGGATAAGACCTCCGCTCCTTGCCTTGCCAAAGGTAGCTCTCCCAAATGACTTAATGGTCTCTAAAAATGGAGGGAGCAACAAACAGGATAAACCCAGGACCACACTTGGCAGAAAGCTGAGTGATACATGAAAACGTGTCCAATGCATTAAACTATTTTTTTTAAAAAGAAAATAAACCATAAACCATAGAATGAATGAGGCATGTCTGAATTCTGTGGGGATCAGATGCACTTATACTGAGCCTTGCAGTCCACCTACATCCAGACCCAGATTATGTCCCTCACTCTGGTGAGGTGACAATATTTATGTGCTTCTCTCCATTGGGACAACAACAATGAAGAAGAAGAAGAAGAAGAAGAAGAAGAAGAAGAAGAAGAAGAAGAAGAAGAAGAAGTGCTAGCACTTGATTAGGGGCACCAACATGCAGCCCTCCAGATGTTATTGGACAAGAACTCCTATCAGCTTCAGCCAATATAGCAAATGATCAGGGATGATGAAGGATGTAATCCAACAGTGCTATTTTTCCAGAAAAAGAGGTGCTGGAATTCACCAGGAACACCTCCCTTATTCTCTTAGAATGGCAATGGCATCCACCTGAAAGGGCCGGAAATGAGTTCCGGCAAGTTCCAGCTGAAAAAAAAAGCCAACAACATATGGCGGGAACCATGTTCGCTACCTCTGTACTAAAGTTTTCAAACAGCTTTCTATATTTATCATCCCTTCCAATGACTCTATAATGAAAGTCAGGTCTAGTGTCACTGCAAGACATGGTCAGGTAAATGTTCTCTTGTTCTGATCCCCTCAGTGTGCTTAACAGCTTCGTTACAGTATTTCTCTCAAATGCAATATGCCTGGAGTTCTGATACATTGTGAATAAAGGAAACATGACTTGTGCCACATGCAAAAATGGCCACCAGAGGGCACCTCAGCCAGAAGCTATAATTTTCACCCATATAGAGCTGGAACAATGAATTTCTGGAGCATTGTGTTTTAGGAAAGTAAAGATGCCCATCAGAACCATAACTGCCAAGGAGATCCACCCATATGCATGGGATGAAGGGGGCTAGAATGGCATCCTCTCCAGGGCTCCCCAAACCTTGTAAAGATGTATCATTCATTCATTCTTTCATTCACAGCAGGGTACAATAACCTACAGCTGAAAACACAATATTCCCAATACAATAAAATGAGTGAGCAGGTAAAACAGCAATACAATCATTTATCTGTACCACATTTCTCCTTTTCTTCAGAAGTAATCATGTATTCTCTGAGGTGATGCACCAGCTAGTGTATTTCTAAGAGGAATCATTTATCACCTTCTTTTCGTTTAGATTGGGACAGTTCAACAAAACCCAGAATAAAATTTTAAAAAAGAAAAACTTCAAAAGGGTGGGGAAACAAGCTGAACCTCTCAAAGGTTGTGGTGAATGAGGACATCCCATGGTTGAAGAGCAACAACAGGTGGTATTTTGGTAAGGGGGACTCTGGTCTTCGTTTCTCCTGACAGTCCAAGAGAATTGAGATTGGTTGTCTCATGCAGACTCTAGCTTGTTCATGAAGATGTACCAATATGTTAGGGTGGACAGCTAGCTTTCCACTTCTCCATGCTTATCCTTCCACAGGAAAGGTGATTCCCATGTTTAAGCTCTTTCACATCTTTCTACATTTAGTATCCGCCCCCCAACCTAACCTACATTTTGCTGTTGAAAGTTTGGAATATCTAGTGTTTGGCAAATGAATTTGCCCCTTCCTGGTTTTTGACATTTTCTGCATAGACAAGCTGGGTCTTTAGGGCTCCACCACATATTTCCATATAAGGCAATTCTCTGCCTCTAAACTCATCACATTTCCAAAATAGTAACTGAGGTTGCAGTCCTATATATACCTTGGAGTAAGTCCCACTGAATTCAGTGATGCTTACTTCTGACTATGAATGCATAGGCTTGCAGCAGAAATCTATGGTCCAGGCAACTTGGGGTGGGTGGTCTGCAGACTGTGTAACCACTAATCATGCTAGTCTTCTGTGCTTCTGACTTGCCACTTAAAAGGAAGTAAAAGGGCTATGCAGATTTAAGTCATTTTTGGGTAATTCATTCTCTCTCTTTCCAATTTATATAAAATGAGATAAGATACACATAAGCAGTGCTTCCCCCCCAAAAAAATATTTAGGGGTACTCTCATTTTGACTTGATAAAATCACAATTGTATAGTTCAAATTGAGAAAAATAAATACAGTAAATGGACAAAAGTACAAAGATTCACAAAATGTTTAGGGGTATGCGTACTTCTGCCCCCCCCCCCGGAAAAAGGCACTGCACATAACAATATTTATTCTCTCCACTCCTTAAGTGTCAGCTAGGAGGAACAATGAAAACTAAGGGTAGGACAAATGGAAAGGAGTGTCCCAAAAAGGGACATGTCTGGCTGGTTGGAACCCTGAACAGAAGCCCTTGATGCTGCAACATTTTGCCAAATGAGCTTTGAGTCCTCATCAGAATTCACACACCTGAATTCCTCTTTCCCCTCTTTATTCTGTCTCCCCACTCCATTTTTCTTTCATTTCACCCCCCACCCCTTGGGGGTGGATTTCCCTGCTTATTTATTTCTTTGTTTTGTGTCCTGCAGCTGGAGGTTTATAAGGCTCATTTTTTAAAAAAACAACAACACATTATTTTTTTTAATGAGAGGAATTTCTATGGTGGATTTGAAATGGCAGAGACTGTGCTGATAATAGCTGTTTATCAATATTCTGCTAGCAATGTGTATGATGCTTTGTTTAGTCACATAAGGAAAAAGGCAGATCCCTCCCACAATGAGCTTACAATTAAATTTGACTTAGAGAAAGACTATAGGACAAGGAAAGGATAGGCTGAAAGAGGCCAAATCCTTGAACTACAACAGGGTTGGGGGGAATTCTCAGGGCTGCATGTAGATAGTGGGGAGTGGCAGAGTCACTGCCTCACTTTGAGTCCTCATCAGAATTCACACACCTGGAGCGCATTGTTGAAACAGGGAGACCTGCTTGAAAGTACTCCAGTGCAATTGAGTTCTAAGGAAGAGAGCAAATGACTGCAGCCTAAGTTTCCACGACAGGTTGACTGCCTCACTGTTACAAATTAAGGCTGGATAGCCACAAATACATTGCCAAAAGGGAGACGTGCATTGCAAAAGAGGATGCAGATTGCCATTACATTTGCATGAGCCAATTCGCAGGTGTAGTTGCAGATTTAGAAATAATTACTGTAATTTAAATACAAATGTAACACATCTCACCATAATAGGGAAGACTATGACCAGGTACCGGTAACCTGTGTGTCTGTTCACTGTTGCTAACTGTTGATGGACACGTTTGAGGTCCCTGCTTCTTTCCCTTCATATGGCTCTGTCTCTTTAAGCCAGATTTGAACGATAAAAGAGAGGACTGTCCTAGGGAGGTAAAGTATAAGGAAATATATGGAAGCTTTGTGCAAATCTTGGCAGAATAGAAATGAAGCTTTATTGAGGATCATCTGTTTTCTCTTTTCCTCTTTCCTCTCTTTATTCTGTCTCCCCGCTCCATTTTTCTTTCATTTCACCCCCCACCCCAAGTTGGATTTCCCTGCTTATTTATTTCTTTGTTGTGTGTCCTGTAGCTGGAGGTTTATAAGGCTCATTTTTAAAAAAAACAACAACACATTATTTTTTTTAATGAGAGGAATTTCTATGGTGGATTTGAAATGGCAGAGACTGTGCTGAAGGGAAGGGGGACATTGCTGGAAGCACAAGGGAATGGGTCTAATAAAGACTAAAATAGTTATTTTTAAAAAATGCAACACTGCAATTAGCAAGTGATAGGCATGCATGTTTGAACTAGCTCAATGATGATTAATTTTCAGGATTCATCTGTTATTTTTTTATCACAGATTGTTCCAATCTTCTCATGATAGATTGTTCCAATCTTCTCATTGTAACTGAGATTTTAATTCTCCACTCACCTACCCACCTATGGTTGCTATATTTTGAAGAGCAAAAAAGAGGACACATTCGTCTACTTCTACTTTTAACTATGGATCACTATGACGACTCTCCTTTTACACATCCATGAAAAAGAGGATGTGTCCTCGAAAAAGAGGACATATGGCAACCTTACGTGACCCATCAAAAGAACATAAGAAGAGCCCTGGCCTGTCTAGTCCAGTATCCTGTTCTCACAGTGGCCAATGAGATACCTCTGGGAAGCCCACAAGCAGAACCTGAGTGCAACAGGGCTCTGCCCACTTGTGATTCCATGCACCTTACCTGCATATATTTGCCAGTGGCCAAACTACCAATGGGTAATAGCTGTTTATCAATATTCTGCTAGCAATGTGTATGATGCTTTGTTTAGTCACATAAGGAAAAAGGCAGATCCCTCCCACAATAAGCTTACAATTAAATTTGACTTAGAGAAAGACTATAGGACAAGGAGAGGATAGGCTGAAAGAGGCCAAATCCATGAACTACAACAGGGTTGGGGGGAATTCTCAGGGCTGCATGTAGATAGTGGGGAGTGGCAGAGTCACCACCTCACTTTCTACTTCTCTCTTAAGATCATCACTCCCACACATTTTCTCTCTTAAGAATCTTAGAATAGGAAGGAAGGAAGGAAGGAAGGAAGGACATGAGATCGAGGGTCTTGTATTCTGCACCATGCCATTGATGCAATAATAGTGCATTACTGTTGGAGTTATATTGCACAACCCAGACAGCATTCCACTGGAACATTTGTAGGTGAAAAGTTGTAGGATTTTAGCAAGAAACTACAAGACATGCAGGTATTTCAAGTGTAGGTGTATAGCCATCTCAAAACCTTTGCAGGTGCATATGGTACTGGAAGCATGATTGCATATATAACCACCATGATAACACCATGAACACAAATCATACACACAATGTGTGTGTGTGTGTGTGTGTGTGTGTTATTGATCTTAAATTACTGAAAGAATATATTACATTAAATTTGGAAATAAGGATTTTCCTTTCATGAGGAATGCTGAAAAATGGCAGAAAGATCTGCAGAAGCTTTAATTAAAAAGGAAGTGCTGGTAATATATTTGAGGAAACACCTTCAGTCCAGCCTGTTTGATTATTGGCCAGTCATAAATAAGTGATTCCAATAGAAACTACAAACACATAAATATGAGACGCTATTGTAGTCTCCTAACCTATAAAGGAAAAAATGACTAATATATACAAATAATGATTTGGAAAGAAACTTTGTCTCCAACGTAATCTCCAGCCACTGTATATGCTTTGAGATTCAAACATACCTACATAAGCGGTGCCAGAACTAAATTACTGGGCACAGTCTTAATAATACACAGATGTACTTTGGTTGGGAACCAGGAGGTGGCCTTAAATCTTGCCAAAATCAAAGGAGATTTTTGTTCCTTCATGTTGTAGAGCTGAAGGGAGTAATGAAATGATAAAGGTGTTCCAAGCTTTCAGCGAAACCAAAATGCCTTTTGCTTGCCTGCCTTAATCATACAGGTTCCAAACAGCCTGGTCCACCAACCAGTCAAAGTTGACTCTGTGGATTTAAGCCAATTCAGCCCCAGTGCAGAAAATACTCTTAAACTCAACTACTTTAGCCTAACTAGTGTATGCAATAATACTGTCTCTTATCCAGCTTTAAAAAATAATAATGTTGACATGCCATTAAATCATTTTAACACAGAGCGAGAGAAATTTTATGAAAGCTCTATCATACAGGAAAAATGTAAACATTGCAGGCTAATTAAAATAAGAATATAAACATTCTAGTCTAATTAAAATATATCATGTGTGTTTTACAGCATTCCTGCATTTATCTGCCAGTGGAGATTGGGGTTTTATTTTGTTTTTTGGCAAAATGACCAAAAACCATTATCTTTCTTATGTGGTGCTTGAACGCTGCTTAAGAGGCAGGCATGTACACTCACGTTCTGAAAGCAAGTAATGTCAGAAGCTTCCATTCACTTGTGGGTTTTTCCCCTTTTCATTTCAGTATGTACTTTGCTACAATAAGTTTATCACTACATTTTTAATAGAGTTTTTTTAAAAAAAAAACACACCACAGCTTCAGTAAATTGTGCAGTAATCTGATAGTTTGCTAGCATGTTTAACAAATACTAAATGCGTACAGCTGCTAAAGATGTTGATAACTGTGTGAAGAATAGGGATGGTGCAATCTGTCAATTTTAGTTTCTCTCAGTTTCTTTTATTTCCTGTCTTAAGTCCAGATCTCTACATTTCCACATCCGTTTGCAATTTTTTTAAAAAAACCCATTTTAGTACAAATCTCTCTCCCCACCCCCTCTTGTTGCCTGCAATTTTGCCCAATATACACATTTTTTTGCAAGGTATTTCCCCCTCATATAATGCATCTTTGCATGTTGTTTTCATGACCATGTGCATTCCTATGCATACTATGCTCCAGTCCGAATTTTTGTACACATTTCTTGCGAAATTTGGAGAAATGCAACTTTTGAAGCATGTCTGTGTTTCTGTTCGCATTTCAGAAAGTAGAAATCAGGTAGGTTTGCTTTTAAATGAAAAACTCAATTCAGTTTCTCCCACATCCTTAGTAATGAGACCTATTCTTAGTAAGACTTGAGTGTGGGTCTCTCAAGGCTCTTCATGAATCCCATCTGAAACATAACAGCCCTGCTAGATCAGGCCAGTGGCCCGTCTAGTTCCGCATCCTGTTGTCACAGTGGCCAACCAGGTGCCTATGTAAAGCCTGTAAGATGGACCTGAGGGAATCCTCACTTGTGATTCTAAGAAATTAGCTCTCAGATGCACACTTCTCCAGCAGTTGAGGGAGAACATAGCCATTGTGGCCAGCAGCCATTGGTAGCCTTAAAGGTAAAGGTAAAGGTAAAGGGACCCCTGACCATTAGGTCCAGTCGTGGCCAACTCTGGGGTTGTGGCGCTCATCTCGCTTTATTGGCTGAGGGAGCCGGCGTTTGTCTGCAGACAGCTTCTGGGCCATGTGGCCAGCATGACTAAGCCACTTCTGGCGAACCAGAGCAGTGCACGGAAACGCCGTTTACCTTCCCGCTGGAACGGTACCTATTTATCTACTTGCACTTTTGGCGTGCTTTTGAACTGCTAGGTTGGCAGGAGCAGGGACTGAGCAACAGGAGCTCACCCCGTCGTGGGGATTCGAACTGCCGACCTTCTGATCGGCAAGTCCTAGGCTCTGTGGTTTAACCCACAGCGCCACCTGTGTCCCATTGGTAGCCTTAGACTCCATCAATTTGTCCAACCCTCTTTTAAAGCCATCCAAGTTGGTGGCCATCACTATAGTTTGTGAGAAAGAATTCCATAGTTTAACTATGTGCTGTGTGACAAGGTATTTTCTTCTGTCTGTCTTGAACCTTCCAATATTCAGCTTCATTGGATGGTTCCAGCTTCTAATATCATGAGAGAGGGGGAAAACACCTATAGCCACACTGTGCCCAATTTTATGCTTGTCTATTTTGTCCCCCCCACACTCCTCTCTTTTCTAAACTAAAGAAGAAACAGTTAATGATATTCCCATCTCCAAAAGGGATAGAAAGAAACAAGGGATTGAATAAAATGGGTGCACATTTCTATAATATTGCCACGATCTTTTTAGTGACCCTTTCTGATCACTCAGGTTTTGCAACCTTTGAGCAATTCAGCTGCTGCTGTTTATTTGATTATTGCTTACATTTAAAAAAATACATTCATATTGTATTTGATTTTACTTTATTGTTGGTCTCCTTAAGAACTCTTGGAGTCGAAGATACAGGATATATCAACTCAGTAAAGCAATCAATCAACAATGTTTGCTGTAGGGTGGCAACTGAGTAGAATAAAAGACCCGGCCTTGTCTGCTCTTTTTAACAGAAATTCAGTACTCACAAATAAGCTGCTGAAGCTTTCGCTGGCATGGAAATAAGCATGATACCTATTAATTGCTGGACAGCAAGCTGCTCTTAAGAGCAGCAGAACAAGGGTGCACATAAAAGCTGGTGGTGAAACCACACATAATTTCCAATGCACAGAGGTAGGACTGTACGCTACCACCCCCAGCAATCCTTTCTCTGAAGTAACCCACCTTGAGTTCACTGAAGCTTACTTCCTGGTAATCCTATATATAAACAATCCTATGCATGTCTGCTCAGTGCCCCACTAAGTTCAATGAATACAGGATTGCAATCATAGGCTATTAGTGAGCTACTCCAATAGATGCAACATTCTTAAAAGTTGCAAAATTGTACCACACCATGTTTTCCCCCCTGAGGAGACAGATCCAGACTTTTCTATCTCTCCTAAACAGAAGCATACTTCTGTTATCAACTTTTAGCTCTTGGATCTTTTGCCCTCAGGTAACCAACTGGAATAATGATAGTGATTTATTTATTACACGCCAATGAGTTTCCATTCACCAGCAATTTCTGGAAACAATTTAGTTTCTAATTCTGTGGCTGTAGGAAAGAGTCATCCAAGAAAATAGCCTCAATACAAGGTACAGGATGCAAATGAAGGAGTCCTCTCTTTATCTGATAAGTTTGAGAATGAAATATTTTTTCAATTAAGAATACAATTTTTATTTATAGGCAGGTAGTTACTGGAGAAATAAAGATGTTTATTTTATAACCTATGAACTTCCTTGTTAACTAATATTAATGGGTAACAATCTGTTTAGAATATAATAATAATAATAATAATAATAATAATAATAATAATAATAATTTATTTATACCCCGCCCTCCCCAGCCAAGGCTGGGCTCAGAGCGGCTTACAAGCAATAATAAAAACAAGATGAATGATTACAACTTAAAAACAAAAATAAAATACAACATTAAAATAATGGAAATTAAAATATTAAAATGTAGCCTCATTGCAGGAGGAGAAGGAAAAGAAAAAAGAAAGAGAGGGAGGGAGGGAATCAAATTGGCTCCAAGCCAAAGGCCAGGTGGAACAACTCTGTCTTACAGGCCCTGCGGAAAGAAATCAGATCCTGTAGGGCCCTGGTCTCATGAGGCAGAGCGTTCCACCAGGCCCGGAGCCAGAGTTGAAAAGGCCCTGGCTCTGGTTGAAGCCAATCTAACTTCCTTAGGGCCTGGGACCACTAGGGTGTTGTTATTTATGGACCTTGAGGCTCTCCGTGGGGCATACCAGGAGAGGCGGTCCCGTAGGTACGAGGGTCCTAGGCCGTGAAGGGCTTTAAAGGTCAAAAGCAGCACCTTAAATCTGACCCTGTACTCCACCGGAAGCCAGTGTAGCTTGAAAAGCACTGGGTGAATATGCTCCCATGGCAGAGACCCCGTGAGGAGCCTCGCTGCAGCATTCTGTACCCACTGGAGTTTCTGGGACAGCTTCAAGGGCAGCCTCGCATAGAGCGAATTACAGTAGTCAAGCCTGGAGATGACCGTCGCATGGATCACTGTGGCCAGGTCGGGGCGGGAAAGGTAAGGGACCAACTGCTTGATGCGGCGAAGGTGGAAAAATGTCGCCTTGGCTGTTGCTGTAACTTGCGCCTCCATGGAAAGGGAGGCGTCAAGGATTACACCCAAACTCTTAACGGAAGGCAATGGCACTAATTGGGCCCCCGCAAGAGAAGGGAGTTGGTCCCTCATCCCCATGCCATCCTGACCTAGCCATAGGACCTCTGTCTTCGAAGGATTTAGTTTCAATCGGCTCCCACGAAACCATCCAGCTACAGCTTCCAAGCATCTGGTCAGTGTGTTCGGGGCCGAGTCGGTGTGGCCATCCATCAGCAGATAGAGCTGAGTGTCATCAGCATATTGGTGACAGCCCAGCCCAAAGCTCCGGATAATCTGGGCAAGGGGGGCGCATAAAGATGTTAAAAAGCATCGGGGAGAGAATTGCGCCCTGCAGCACTCCACACACCAAGGAGTGGCGCGATGACATTTCCCTCCCTAGTGCCACCCTCTGTCCCCGACCAGAGATAAAAGAGCACAACCAGTTACGGGCTATGCCCTGTATCCCCACGTCTGCGAGGCGGTGGTCCAGAAGATCATGATCGACCATGTCAAAGGCTGCTGACAAATCTAAAAGGATCAGCAGTCCTGACCCGCCTCGATCCAGTTGTCTACGGAGATCATCTGTTAGGGCAACCAGAGCCGTCTCCGTCCCAAAACCAGGACGGAAACCGGACTGAAATGGATCTAATGCCGATGTTTCCTCCAGAAACCTACCAAGCTGTTCAGCAACCGCTCTCTCAATTACCTTACCCAGGTATGGAAGATTTGAAACTGGGCGGTAATTGGATAGGTCTAAGGGATCTGATGAAGTTTTCTTTAAGAGTGGACACACCACTGCTTCCTTCAGTTCCCCTGGGAATGTCCCCGTGTCAAGGGACAAATTGATAATTTCAACCAGGGGGGTCCGCGCAACATCTGGACACTCCCTAATCAGCCAAGACGGGCACAGATCAAGGAGGCAGGTGGTGGGCCTACCAACTTGGAGGAATCTATCCACATCAGTAGGGAGTATCCGATCGAAATGGTCCAACACTGGACCTGAAGTCAGTCGAGGGGCCTCCAGTTCAGTCACTGTATCTAAATTGGCAGGGAGGTCATGGTGGAGCAACAGGACTTTCTCCGCAAAAAAGCTCGCGAATGCCTCACAGCTGTGGGTCGAATTTTTGCTTAAATTTGGTTGTCCTCCTAAGGACGTTATTGACCTAATTATTCTAAAAAGTTGTGCCAGGCGAGAGCTAGCGGATGCAATGGAAGCTGCAACGTAAGATTTCTTAGCAGCTTTCATAGCCATCTCATAGGCTTTCATAAGCGTCCTATAAGATGTTCTTGAGGCTCCGTCACGAGTCCATCGCCATACTCGCTCTAGCTTCATTTTCCGGAGCTCCTCAGTAAACCAAGGGGCCCGGTTTCGACGGGGTCGCAGAGGGCGCTTAGGCGCGATCTCATCAATGGCTGCCAAGAGCCGGTTATTCCAGTCCTCAACAAGGTCATCTAATGAGTCGCCAGGAGGAGCAGGGTTCCGCAAGGCTTGTCGGAATCTATCAGGATCCATCAGTTTTCGCGGACGAGCCCAAATAAGTTCGCCACCTAAATAATATGCCTCTAAATAAAGGAGATACTGGGTTATATAAAGAATACTCAATTTATTCCATGTCCCTGAGCCACTGTGGCAATTAAAGTGAGTGGTTTTCATCAAGTCTGGCATTCCTCAGCAGTCTCTGTCTCCAGTGAAATTATTAGTGATGGCTCATTATGTACTGTTCACATTACAGACAATGTAGCACCAGTGTTCATAATGCAGATTTTTGCATGAAAAAAGGCACTGAGTTTTTCACCTTTACCTGTCACATATGAATGAGAATTTTCTTTCAACAACAAGAAATGAAGAAGTGATTATTTCTCTTCTTCGTGGGGGGGGGGGTACCACATGCACCAAATTCAGCATTTTCTTCCTAGAACCCATCCCGTGTAAGAAATAAAAATGCTAGTATTTTTTTTCTTTTAGAAAACCCACTTTCTTCTACATAAGTTGGCTAGGATGATGCTTTTTGCTGCAATTTAAATACATTCAAAAGAAGCTAAAGTCCTATAATAGGCTTGGGGGTGGGGAATCTGCATTCAATTTAAGTAATAACTCCAGAGTCATATGGGGGGGGCGGAATACCCAATCTTTCAGAAGGAGGGATATATATAGGAGAAAAAACACTGCTGAAGGACTCCATTCCCCCACTTAATAGCCTGATAAGGGCTGAGCATGCTCAGTATTCATGGAATGTGTTATGTACTGAAGTTCTCACCCTGGGCCAGCAGGGGGATACTGTAGATAGTTTTTACTCAGGTCCACATATGCAAATAAGGGATCGAAAGTGACTTTCAGTGATTGGATAGTT